CGGGGCTTCAGCCTCAGAGGGCGCCCCGGTTTGCACCGCGGGCTTCTGAGAAAGCGGGGAGAAGGAGCTGGCGCCGCAGGGTCCTGCCTCGGCCCTGGAGGGGTGCCGAGGGAGGCCTTCGGCTCCAGTGTCCTCCTCTCCTCCCCCTGCCGCCCGCTCACCGGCACGGCTGTCGTTCTGCAGCCAGGCAAGGCCCTAAATGGGCTGCGCTTTCAGGTGGCGGCTTATTCTGAAATCGCCCCAGGTTCAGAGGCATTAAGGAATTGGTTCGGTTAACCCCGATTGTGGGACTCCGCGGAAGGGGAGGCTAGAAGGGGCGATTTATCCTGGCCCTAAAATTAAATCACAAGTCACCGTTGAAAGATATTTGCAGCCGGCGGGGTGAGCAGTGCAAAATAATTAATGAAGGCTAATACCCAAAGCTAAAACACTGCAACGTAAGAGAACATAAAAACCGCTGGGATGCAGGGACCACTTTGCCGGATCTAGCCAGAGATGGTGCTATTCAGAGGTAGACTGTCTTTGAAGTGGGAGGTTTCATTTTACTCTATGTCATATTCTCCCTCAAAAGTCATCTGAATGACTCCCCTCCCTCCCTCCCTCCCTCCTCCCTTCCTTCCGCGGCCCAAGAAGGTGGGCAGGGTGGGACTGTCCGGCCTGCTAGGCAGGAGCAAGAAAGGCTGGCAGCACCAACTGCAACCTTCATGGCAGCGTAGAGGCTGGTGGTCTTTCGCTGACCAGCTTCTGCCCGTCTCCTGGGCCCCAAGCGGTGGCTTAGCGAAGGCAGGAAAGGTCTAAGCAAGAGGTGAGGCTGAGCTCTCTGTGGCCGGGGGGCGCCCTCATCTTGCTGGGCACCCAGAGGGACAGCCACACCTGCCGGGCAAGGCCTCTGCAGACAAGCCCCAGAGCAGCAGAGGGAGGGCTGGTCCCGCTGCAAGCTTCGGAAGCAGCCCGGGGAGCGTGGGTTGCCCTTGGTCACAGCCAGGCAGATGTGATAGAAAGCAATGGGCCTTTAGCCCCATTTGTGGAATAAGTCTGAACCAATGCCACCCCCAAGCTCCTCTCTTCCCACTTCTGGGGACTGGGGGCGCTGCTGCCCAATGCACCGGAGGACCTCTAGCCGGGAGAGGGCACAGCCCAAGAGTTTGTGTCATCATGTTTTAAAGGGGCCTGGCCTCATTTAAGCGCCTGCCTCCTCCGGCCTCCTCCCAGCAACCAGGCGCTCCCGGCACCCGTCCCTATATCGTGAAAGTTAGCGGGGCAACCTGCCTTCTCTCTGCAAACCTTGTCCCCGTGTTCCTCCGCCAGGTCCCCTCCCGATGGCGAGAAGGCAGACCAGCCCTGCAGAGGAACGCGTTCCCCCGAGGCCAGGGGACCAGCGGCTGAGCGAGGGGGAGAGTGCCGTGCAGCCCAAAGGACTTCCATCCACAGCGTCCCCTGCTGGGACAGAAAGGCCGGCTGGCCTGCCACCTGCATCGGTGCCCAGCAGAGGGCAGCACGTACGCGGGAGATGCCGCGGGTGGAGCTGCTGGCAAGGCTGGGGGAGGGCTGGGCTGGGCAGCAGTGCCGCTGCCTCGGCTGCCACCTGGGCCAGGCAAGTCATCAATGGGCCCAAGCCCGTGGGCGCCCAAGACATTTTGCTAGCTGGCACACAGGCACCACGGCCGCCAAGGCTTCTACGGGGTGGGGCCCATGGAGGTGCAGTTTCTCGGTCTTTCCACGCAGGGAGCTGAGAAACTGGCTGCAGAGGAAAGCCGGTTGGCGACTCGCAAGGCAACACGAGCCATTCCACGTCTGCAACTGCAGGAAGCCTGAAGCAGAGGCCAATGAGAACCAGAAGGCCACACTTGGGGAAGAAGGGAGATGCGCTTCCCTTGCAGCTGCCGTCCCCCCAAGCAAGAGGGAGAGATTTACTCCCTGCAGAAAGAGGGGCCAGCCAGGCAGGGTCCCTTCAGCCCCCAATCCTGGCAGGGGGGCCCTGCGCTGCCTGGGCCTTTGCCATGACTGCCAAGATGCTGCCCCTCTCTCTCTGGGCATCAGCCGCTTCTGCCCTTCTCAGTTGCCCCGACTGCCGAGTTGCCTTCAAGCCAGCCCGCGGACGGCCTCCCTCAGGCCCTCTGTCATTTGCCAGCCGGCCTTCCCCTCAGGGGCTGTCCTGGTGTGGGGGCCCCAGACAGCATGGCCAAAGGTCAGGGCGGAGTGTGGGCAAAGCCAGCACCCGGAGGGCCTGCCCTTCGCCGTCCCGGTCCTGGGCTGCCCCGCCGCCCTCCTCCTGGGCCAAAAGGGCTGCAGATTCCCTCCTGCCTTGTGGGGGGCAGGTCTTCTTTGCTCGCTGAACCCAGTTCCAGAGATTCTCCTCAGAAGTACATCCGATGGCAGGACTCTCTCATAAAGGGAAGAACCCCAGTGTGCCTCCCTTGCTGTCCTTCCCTAGAAGAAGAGGAAAGCCCATTTCCTTCGAGGGGGCTGTTCTCTCTCTCTGGGGGAGGCAGCAGGACCTCACATGGGGCAGGAGGGGAACATCCTGCCCTCGGCAAACGGCCTCGCTCCCACGGACTCTTGGGAGGCCTTGGGCATCTACGCCACCCCACAGCTTTCTGTGCAAAACTTCTCAGGCCCCCTTCAGAGAAGGGGAACAGCCTGCAGGCCACACCCTGGCAGAAGATCACTGCACGGAGAGCGGGGTCCTGCTTTTGGAGTGGGAACCGTTTCTTTTTGGGACAGAAAGCAGGTAACCGGACCAGCCAAATGGTGGCAGAAAGAAGGGTGATGCCAGCAGGATGGGGCAAGAAGGGAGCCCAAGCGCTTCTTGGTAAGGCCCAAAATGCCCCCTTTTTTTCTGCGGGGCTCCCTGGAGGGTCTCTTCCCCACCCACGGAAGCTGTCTTAGTGCCTTCGCACCTCCGTCTGCAAAATCCCTCAAATGGCCTTCTTGGGCCGTGCTCCAGCGCAGAAAATCAAGGGAGAGATTGTGGCTGCCCCACAGCCAAGCCAAACCAGGCTGGAGCTGAGAGGGCGGGCAGGGAGGATCAGCAATCTCAGGCAAGGGTGTCTTTTCCCCTTTCTGGGGTGCAACCGAGAGGACAGAAGCTGTGAGGTCACCCGGCTGCTTCTCCCTCTTTCTGCCTTCAGGATCAGAGGGAGCTTCCAGCATCTCTGCTGACGGTTGCCGCTTTCTTTGCTCACAAGCCCATGTGTGTTCTCATGGGATCTTCCCATTGTACAGAGGAGGAAACTGAGGCTGAGTCCGAGCACTCCCTTGGTGGAGATGGCCGTGGGGGATCGTATAACACCTGCGCCAGGGTTTTCCACAGCCGCCGCCTGCCCTGAGAGCACAGTTGCACACCCCGGAGAGAAGGGGAGAGATTTTCAGGGTCTGACATATTGATCACTTTTCTTCCTCCCTCCCTTGGCAGCAAGCTTTTAATTAGATCCCCAAATTCCTTCTGGGCTGCTTGTAGGAAGCCCCTTCCTCTCAGAGACCGCCAGTCTTTGGCTTGCTTTCCACCGGGCTGCATCTAAGACCAAGGGGCTAATTCCCCTTTAATCGTCCCAGGGAACTGCTTCCCCGATTCCTCCTCCCACCCACCATCAGCCTCTCCTGTACCCTCTTTGCTCCCCCTTCCCTGCTTATCAGCCAAATGGGAAGGGGGATTCCCAGCTAAGTCTCTTCCAGAAAGAGAGAGAGAGAAAGAGAGAGAGAGAGAGAGAGAGAGAGAGAGAG